CACTTTTGGGCATCACTGGGAGGATGCTGACACCAAAGCCCCGCAGCCCATCCTGTCCTTCGGCCATTGCTCCCTCCGGTGCTGGAGGGGTGCCTGGAGCAGAGCGGGGGGCTGTGTCCCCCCTCTCCTTCCTCTGCCCCACAACCATTTGCACTGTACCCTGGTCACCAGGACGCTGGCGTGGGGCTGGGACTCTGCTGCCCAACGCGGCCACAAACCTCCCGCTGGTGCCTTGGCCACAGCACCGGGTGAGGGGCAGGGTGGGAGGATGCTTGTACAGCGCCAAGAGATGCTGCTTCTGCGATGAGACCTTCGGGTCCTCTCCCATGCGAACGAGGCATCCGCACGGCTCGCGGTTTGGGCAGAGAAATGTTTGTTCCATTGATCGTGTTTCTTCCACTGCATGCAAGTGGAGGCAGAAGGTGCTGAGCAGGGCAGGATCAAGCTGCTGCTGTCTCTCATCTGTTATCGCCATTTGTTTAATTATTTTTCATTATTTTAATTATATTTTCTTTTTTTTTTCCACCACCCCTTCTTTGCGCAGTGGCTATACCAATACTTGAGGCTTGAATTGTGCAAAGCGAGATTCGGGTTAGGTGGCAGGAGAGCTTCCAACCAGGCAGAGCAACAGCGTTCCGGTCTTTGGCAAGTCAAAGCATTTCCATCCCCAGGGGCCAAAGAAGGAGTTTATTCAAAACACAAATAAATTAAAATAATCTGTAAGTACAGAAAATCTGGCCCAGGGGAACAGGAGTGAGCGAAACAATCTGTCCCAGACCCAGCAGGCTGTTTGCTGGGATATTTATAGGATGTTTTGGATTTTAAAGGAAGAAATTGAAGCCAAATCGTGCTGATTATTGCAAAATGTGAGCTGCTGTTTGGGGAAGAGCCTGTCACGGGAAGGAGGGGAAGAGCCAGTGTCGGAGCCAGCTCAGTGCGGGGAAGAGTGTGGGGAATTGAGCATTTAGAGGAGTTCTGCACTGCAGGGAAATAACCGGATAATATTTTTGAATATTTGGGTATTTATTGGTCTTGGCAGCTTTGGCTGTGCCTCTTTCTGCCCTTCCTTCTGGGTGTTGAAAAATACGCTCTGCGGACAGTGTGTGGTGATGGCAACGTGGGTTATGGGATGGGGAAGGAGTAAATCCCAGGGGGGTTCCTCTTTGTGCCCATGTCCTGAGGGGAACCCCAG